GATACTTTGCACTTCATAGATTTTATGTGTTAAATTGAGCACCACAATCGTTAACAAGATAGTGAAGTAGATATGAGACACTGAAATGAAGCCGACAACAGAATTTATAACAACAGGCAGAGGGGATGCAACTAAAATAGAACGCTTCGGTCCGTTGAGCAGCACACTTTCCTATTCAGTATCACAACCGGAGACAATTTGTCTCCGTAAGTTCATACATACGTAACCAGTATTAAAGCAAAATTTCTTAGCTAGCGATCAATTTATATTCACACTTTGATCACCTATAGCACGCTGCCGCATAATCAGTGGGACAAGCAACATTTCGTAGCTACTGAGATCATTTAGGGTTTAGATAGCTGATTTTCTAGGCATTCGTTTCTCTCCTTTCTTTCTTTTTTGGAAAAAGACAACATCCCTTGCCAACTCATCTACTAGCGACACTTACATGCCCTCAGTAAATATTTGTATAGGATTATTTCGAAAAATAACTGTGTAAGGGCTCGAAGGATATCGACCCTACGCGAATATACGAAGCAGTGCTGTGCGGCAAAACACATCTTTTCAGCAAGAATTCATTTAACTTAGAACAGTAAATTTTGATTGTCTATTTTTGCATAAAATTTACCGATGTGACAGACAAATTTGATGATTGGAGCGCGCCCAATACGTGTGTCGAGAGGCAACGAAAAGTAGAACCATGCCGGCGGACAAATGAGTGTCATCAGCGTGAACGCGACCGTCTTACCAAATGACCAATCCACTCGCCCAGTCCAAATTTCAGTGAGATAGCGCTGTACCGATGCATACGAAACCACCTCCTTCTGCAGTGCATCTTTTATAACAAAATCTATGCCAAATTCACTTTAGGGACTGCCGTGGAAAACCCATTAGAGTAAGTAGGGAAATGCATATAGAATATAGGTGCTCTAATAAAGTGAGTGGCGCACAAAAAAAGGTCGGTGATGTAGTGGTCTAGTAAGTCAGTTTCGGATGCAAGAGCAAGTGGTTCGACTTTTAAACCGTCCACAGCCATTTTCGAGAAGCGAACTCCTATACATGCACAAATGCATATGTGAAAAACTTTTTTAAAAGTTAGACAGTCCGATAAAAGCTTTTTCAAGTACACAAAAAATTCGAATTATATATCATGCACATTCGTGTAACTACCGATATGTTGCTCAGAACGTATGTATTTACATGTACTGCCAGCAGTTTGCCCAGTAAAACACTGGCAGTTTGTGTAAAATATATACGCTACAGCTAATATACAAGTGGATTACCGAGAAAACCAGACATATATGTAACTCAAACTTCTTGCACATTCTAGGTAGATATATAATTGTGCTAAGATTATCCAACTGGAACACATATTTAGACTTTTAATTGTTCCACAGAATCTCGCACCTGTTCATTTTCGATGAGCACATCAAGCAGAGGGCGTCCACGATTGTCCTTTGCCTTCAACAACAGTGCAGCATTGTATTCGGTTGCTGTTATACCCAATAATTCAACCGCCATATTTTCCGCAAATTCGGACACATTTAACAAATCCCTGGCACGTTCCTAGAAAGATGATTTATTAAAAAAAAGTGTAGTCTTATATAGGCTCGTAGTCAAATTTTAAAACCAGCAGCATCTTTCAGTTTCCTCAAACATCCTTAGTTCGGTGCACTGCAAAATTTTCATTTCTTAGTGACGAATATTAAAACGACTAAAAAAGATTTTTTTTTTCTTTAAATAATCTCTCTATTTGTATTTGCAAAGGTATCTTCACGAACTTTCGTCAAAAAAATTACGAGCAACAAAACGCCATTGATATCAGCGTGTGTATCTTACGTTTAAATTGATTTACTGGAATGTCCCAACACGTCAAGACCAGGTACGTTAGGCCAGTCGCGAACAAAGCCCCTTTTTGAAAATGGTTCTGGACCCAGATCGAATCGAACCACTCCTCTCCACTGCATCCGGACGTGACGCGCTGCCACTACACCACCCACCTTGTGTTCAGATCAGCCTGTCAGCACATCTACTGTGTACCTGCCCTTAAAGGCAGAATATAATTTTCCTTTTTGGTACCTCTCATTGGCAGTTTACATTTTTTCCTTCGTGGTGGCTTTTCTTTTCGCAGGTTTCCTCAACAAGGCCTTTGATTATGTTCTGTATAAATTCAGTTAGTGCATACCCGTTGTATTACCCCATCTCTTAATTTGACTGCTACTCTTCAGAGCAGTCCTTCGGAGATTTTAAGCTGATTTAGGGCCTTCAGAGCTATCAGAGCGATGTTACATTTTGGGGAACTCTAATCAGCAGGAAGCAGCCATGCTCGATCCAAGCATTTTTATGCGTTTTTTGCAGCAATGCAATGCGAAAAACGCATATTGACGAGAGGTTGTCTG